AAAAAAGAAAATTCTCACCTGAAATATCTTAAAATTCGAAGATAATCTTCTCGTATTCTCTCTTTAGCATGTCCAACAAATCGAACTTTCTTGTTTTTTAAATCTTCATAACCATTGAAGTAATCAAACAAGGTACCATCAAAGCCTAGTCATTAGAAAATGAGAGTTATTATGAAATAAGGATGGATAAGTCAGAAAATGAACAGAAAACTATCCTGCGCAGAATTCAGCAAGGTAGAGAGTTACAAAATTTTAAAAAAATTATAGCATTCACATATATGAAATCAAGTAGAAGCTATAATGGAGTAAAGAGTTGTATTTATAATGACAAAGACAATACACCCAAGAATATACCCAACCTGTAGAAAAGAAAAGATCCCTCCTGGTGGTATAGGGGTTACCTGTTGGGTTACAAAGTCAGCAGTTCAAACCCACCAGCCAGTCTGCAGGAAAAAGATGAGGCTTTAAATATTCCTGCAAAGACTTACAGTCCCGGAAACCCACAGACGCAATTGTGCTCTGTCCTATACTTTTCAGTCAGGATTATCTCAGTGGCAGTAATGAGTAGGAAGAAAACTTTGAAAAACTACTACTAATACTAGAAAATATGTAGGAATCACATATTTGACAAGATTTAGTGTCCAGAATATAGAGAGAATTAGGCAACGAAGACTATTCAATTTTTCAAATGAGCAAAAGACTTGAACAGACAATTCTCTAAAAGATATACAACTAACCAATATGCACATAAAATGGTCAATTTAGAAAAAGGCAATTGATTCACATCCACTAACCCAACCCCAAAGCCCCTGCTATGGAGTCAGTTCTGACAGAGCCACCTCCGTAGTGTTTCCAACACTAAGTCTACAGGACCAGAAATCCTCATCTTTCTCCCATAAAGTGGCTGGTGGAATCTGAAACCTCTATCTTGTGGTTTGTGGTTAGCATACAACAGTGACACCTACTAGCCTGGTTATTATGTAAAAATACCTATGTCTAGGTGAGTCTGGAGAAACTGGAACCCTTATCCAGTGCATGTGGTCAATGTAAAATGCTACAGCCAATGTGGATACAGTTCGGTGGTCCATTAAAAAAAAAAAATTATACACTGATTCCACGATAGGATACACTCTCGGGTATAATGCCCCAGATTTGAAAGCGAGGACTAAAACAAATTCACACACCAAATATGCATTTCTGCACTATTCACATGAGGCAAAAGAGTGGAAATAGCCTAAATGTCCATGGCTATCGAGAGATGAATAAACAAAATAAGACACCTCTATGGGGAAAAGATAGGGCTTTCTACTCCTGTAAAGTGTTACAATCTCAGAACCTCACAAGGGCAGTTCTACCCTGTCCTACAAGGTTGCTATGAGTCAGCATCAACCTGAGAGCGATGAATTTGGTTTTCTAGGGTTTGGTATATCTATACAATGAGTTATTTAGTCATAAATAGAAATGCAGTTCTGAGACATACTACTGCACAGATGGACCTGAAAAACAAATACTACATATATGATCCCACTTATATGAAATATCTGGAATAGGCAAATGCATAAAACAGAAAGTAGATTGGTTACCAAGGGCTGTGATAGAAGGGAATGCAGAGTTTTGCTTAAGGGCTAGAGCTTGTTTGAGGTGATGAAGCTGTTCCGGAAATTGAAATAATTGTACAACATGATGACTGTAATGTCAATGAATTGCACCTTTGAAGGCGGATAAGATGGCAAATTCAATGTTATTTGCACTTTACCACTTAACAGAAAAAGCTGTTGACATTGAAAGACCCAAACATGACAAAACGAACCACTTGTATCAAATGGCAAGGTGCACAAAATGTATGTGGTGATCCTGTGTAGGACTCATCATCAAAAAGATACACAGTATATTACTGTGTAAATTTAAGACAATTCTGATGGAAATATCATAAGGTTTGTTCGAGTGGGGCCAATAGAACTCCAGACGAGCTGACTTTCAAGTTACCTAGAACAATAAAATAATCAGGGATAGGGGGAGTAGTAGAAGAAACCAAAGAAAAATAAAATCCTGGAATGGGAAGAACATTCAAACTATGATTAAGAGCTAAGACACAAAACAAAATGCGCACATGTCTAAAACTCAAATTGCTTGCTTGGCAAAAACAAACATCATAAAACAAAAGCAATTGCTAAATGACATACTAGCACAATGATCTGTAACTCAGTATCACAGACAAGTGCCTAATTTCCCTAATATCTAGAAAGCACTTAACATATATGACCATAAAGATGAAAGAACATTCAAAATATATACTGGAAATACAAAAGTCTCTAAAAATGAAGCTGCTCAATTAGACATAAATACCACGTGATATGGCATTTCTAACAAAAGAGCAACGTTCTACATGCTAGACAATGTTAGCCCAGGGTATGGTGCCTGTTCATTTCAGATGAACTCAACTATACCACTGCTTAAATGTGAGTTTTGAACCATTTAACCCATTCAAAAACATGTTTAAACCCATTTAAAAACATGTTTAAAGAATCCCCACTTCAATATGCTAAATGTATGATGAGCAACCTGTTTTAGTAGCAGGATGATTACTCCAGTTTATCAAGACCCTTCTGGTTTTTAGGAGCCTGGTGGCACTGCTGGGTAAATGTTGGACTACTAACTGCAAGGCTGTTGGTTCAAATCTACCTGCCACACCTCAGGAGAAAGATGAAGCTGGTTGCTCCTGTAAAGACTTATAAAGCTTCAGAGACCCTGTACAGTTACTATCAGTTGCATTTGATTATATGGTAGTGGGTTTGATTTTGTTTGTTTGCTAGTTTTAAAATCTTCAACTACACAGATTCTCAAGCAGAAGGTGAAGTCATCCATCCCCAATGTGCACCAGGAACAGGGAACAATGAGTGAGTCCAACAGAGACACCACAACAGAGTGCAGTCCACAGGTAACTTGGAAATATGTATGGGCACCGGGGAAATATGTATGGGCACACATGCACTTACTCCTGAAATGGTAATGTATTAATCAAATCTAAGAACTGTTAACACTGGCTGAATGTGTACACTTGCCAGGCATTGTTTGAAGTATGCATTAGATCCCTACTCAAGACTCATTGCCATCAAGTCGATGCCAACCTAATGCAACCCTCATTTTAGGGTGAGCAAGTGATGAAGCAGCCACTCCTTGGGAGAAAGACTGGGCTTCCTATTCCCGTAAGAGTTCCAGTCTCGAAAACTCACAGGGACAGTGCTATGCTGTCCTATAGGGTTGTTATGAGTCAGCTTCGACTTGGTGGCAATGAGTTTATTTTTTGGAAGTAATGGAGTTAGAATTTGAAAGCAGGAATCTTAGCTCCAGTGTTAAATTGTTTTAATCAATATGCTGTAATATCTCTTACAGTAATATAATTGTTGAAAAGTCAAAGAACATTTCAAGCAAGTTTCAATTGAAGAAAAGGCATCTTGATAGACCAGGCTATCTCCATATATTACCTAGAAACATAGAATTGATAGTAAGGTCTCTGCGCTCAGCATCTTTCTGCCAGTCAGTGGTAAATTCTACCTCAGCATGTCTTCCATCTGTGAGAACATCAATCCGTAGTGTAGTAATTTCAAAATTTTCCTCATGAAGCTGTAAAACACATGTTTTTGATTAAAAATTAGCTTTTAAAATCACTGGGTGGAGGGAAGAATTTGACTCCATTAAGTAGACTAGTATGGTAAGCCCTCACTGTATACATACACCTTTAAACAGAAATGCAAACACCCACAATAATAATGTACCTATCCTAACAAAAAGATGAGTTTGACAAAGGACAGATTTACAAACTGGCAACTCTGACACATGATATAGCGAAGCCCTTAAAATAGTATATTTCTGATTCTTCAATTTCAAACTAGGCTACTCTTAGAGATATTTAATAGCTCTAGTTTGCTAAGAGCTGAATATCAATTTGTAGAATATGTATCTTAAGCAAAAAATCAATAAGGGAACAAACTTAACAAATCCTGCAACTCCTATCCAAGTGAACAGGTTAAAATAAAGTGCTCCATATACGTTGGGAAGGGAGATGATTACCTCCAGCTGGGAAAAGTTGAGGCGCTTTGCAACAACGTGACATCTGGGTTTTTAACCTTTAAAAGCCAGCATTTGTACACAGAGGGAAAAGATCATTTCAAAAGAAAAGATGATGAGAAGCATGATGGGAAAAAAATGTATATAACAATGCCTGATGATAAGCAGTTAGGGGTAGACAGCATGCCCAGCTGGAGTCTAGAAACTCTCATTAGGAAATGACAGTCAAACATGGAATGAAGGAAGGCTGGAAAGTTGATGTTTCTATTCTAGGATTCCTCTAAATCTCCATGCATACTTCCTAGAAACACACTCGTCCTCCATATATATTCCAGTCTCCAGGATTTGAGGCACCAAGTACCTCTATATAAAAGCAAGGAATAAGGAGCATGTTTTGAAAACAGAAAAAAAACCGTTTTAAGTAATTACTAGAAGTAATTAGATTCCCAGACTGCCTTCCTTACCGAGGCTGAAAAATAGGGCCTTACTCTTATAAAGGTTGAACTGAAAAACATGACTTCAGGAACCAGACACAAGTTACAAAAGGAAAGCTGGAAGATCAATGTAAGGCACTTCCATGGAAGTAAATGCATGATGATAGAAAGCATGATACAAAAAACAGAAAGAAAGAAATTAGATCAGTCCCAGGGCCTCCAACATCCAAATAATAACTTCCACTGGAAGGGGAGTAAAATTATGAAAGGCCTCCCTAAGTACCCAGCAATCCCAACCAAGATATACCAATTTGAAATTAAAAACACACAAGGTAAGAAAAAGGAATCTTGGAAGCATAGCAGTTAAGCTGTGAGCTGCTAACTGAAAGGTTGGCAGTTCAAACCCACCAGTCACTCCACAAGAAAAAGATATGTCAGTCTGCTTCCATAAAGATTTACAACCTTGAAACCCCTTTGGGACAGTTCTGCTATACTATAGAGTCAATGTGAGTTGGAATTGATTCAATAACAGGTTTAGAGCTAAGATAATAAAGATTTCCAAAAGGAAACATAATCAGGCCTCAAGTAAAGAGAAATGTTAACAGGACCAGACTTCTCAGTGGCAAAAAAGAAAGCTAAAAAACAATGATAGATGTTAGCTTTTAAATCTCTCAAATAAAAGTATTCCAAGGCTAAAATTTCATCGCCAACAAAACAATCAAACCAATATAAAGGCAAAATTAAAAAAAATTTTGACGTCCAAAGCTTTAAGAATTACACCTCTCTATGCAATCAACAAAACCTAGTGGTGGTTTTGGATTACTGAGATGAGAGTCTAAAATAAGAACCACATGAGAACCAGTAAACAGGGCTTCTAACAAAATGAAGTCAAGGAAACTGTCAGCATCTTCATGAGCAGTGGTTCTCAACCTTCCTAATGCCATGACCCTTTACATAGTTCCTCATGTTGTGGTGACCTCCCCAACCATCAAATTATTTTCGTTGCTACTTCATACCTGTAATTTTGCTACTGTTATGAATTGGGCGACCCTAGTGAAAGGGTTGTTCGACCCCCAAAGGGGTCACGACACAAAGGTTGAGTACCATTGCTCACAAGGAAGACCCCAGGATGAGAGCTTGAAACACCTAGAAGCAATCATTCGAAACTGGAGCTGGAAGACAGAGTGCCCCAGGTGACAGGGAACAAAGCGTAACATAGGTAAGTCAATTAAGACATGTTTTCCAGTTCTGCCACAGAGGACAGGATAAACTAGTAGTTCATGGATATCTAGAGAAGAGATATGCTACTGACTACAAAGAAAAGTAAACAGGCAACAGAATAAATGTAATCATAGCATAATGCAAATCCAGCTGTAAACAATATAGTCAGAAATGTACATGCCTAAAGCTTGATTTAACCAAAATTATGGTAAAAATATGTTTGTATTCATGCGTGCGTACATGCAATTTCATCTTCCCTAGTAAGGAATCAAGAACATCTTAAAACTGGGAAATTAAGCGCGCACACAAACACGCATGCGCGCGCGCGCACACACACACACACACACACACACGCCCACCGCATACAAAGGCCTTCTTTGAAATATGGAGGTTAGCAGGTAACTACCAAAAGAATAGGATTAAGTTGAAATTGGTTACAACAAAGAAGAAAATCTGAGTTGGATTGGGACTGGGGAACTGAGGGAATAGCCTTGCTATTTGCTAACTAGAAAAACACTAATTTTAAAAATTACCATAAAAGCAACAAATCACTGTACTAGTGTCACATTTCTCACTCACCCTGGCAGTGATTGTTCCATGTTTTTCACCTTTGTTGTTGATCATTCGAATCCCAGCAGACTGAAACATCTCCTTCATCTGAGCAGGGGTGGCTGTGGTTGCAAAATCCACATCTTGAGGCTTCACCCCATTTAATAAATCCCTCACGGCTCCTCCTGCTATTCTTAACTCATGGTTTTCTTTGACAAATATTTCTGGCATAAGAGAGGGAAGATTTCAATGTATGCTTTTAAGAATCATATACATATAAAGCCTATCCATTTATTAGAGATGCCCATAGTCTGAATCAGACGAGTCCTTTCCTATGGAAAATGAAGAGTATGGCCCAGAGTGGTGAAATGATTTGCTCACAAGCAAACGTTTCAGAATTGTGGGTAAGTGGGCAACTGGCCAAATTTTTCTTTGCTGTCTTCTGTCTTAGAAGACAATTCAGAATTCCACAGAACCTTCAAGTCATCAATATAATGTGATTTGTTACCCAAAAGTAAAGCAAACAATATAGCTTTCATTTTCCAGGTTTAAAAACAAACCTTAAGAACAATGACCTGTTCTTGCATGTGTTCTTTGTATATACATGTGGAGGCAACATGCTTATGCAACGCTGAAAATTATCAGGGTACAGACATGAGTCCATCATACTTCTTAGGGAAAACATCAGGGCTAATAATCAAGAAATGATCTGCATATGTTTGAAAACCAAGTCATCTATCTCCTCTAGGTGGGGAAGGGATGAACACTACCACAAGAGCCTCAGCACCCACCAGGAGCCTACTCCTCTGCAGGTACAGGACAAGGTAACATCTGACGGCAGGACTCCAGTGAAACAGACGGACAAGAGCTGGTATCTGGGAGCTAAAACCAGGCCTAGTTATGCTATTGGACATAATCCATTTCATAGAACATCAACATCACACAAGGCCACTCTCTGAGCATGATGGATCAAGATAAAAATGAGACCACTCCCTAATCACTGTCGGAACAAAGACAAAACATGAACACGGCCCAAGGCAACATAGAAATGACCAAGAATCTCCCTACCCTGGCTAAAATGAATGACTGCCACTCTTAAAGAATTACACCATCAGCCTGGATTTAGTCTTCCCTTCTTCTGTAAGATGCATGATGACACTCCATCACACTATCACCATCCCCTCTACCTGACAACAACCAGTCCACGACAAAGCCTCTACTTCCCTAAGATGCCTCACAACTAAGACACAACCCCGAACTTTTAAGTCCATTATAGCATTTCTTTATTAAGTCTCTGGTGAAAATGGTGTGGACTCAACTACTGATTCAAAAGTTGGCAGTTCAAGCCCACCCAGTGATGCCAAGGAGGAAAGACCCAAGGAACTGACTGCTTCTATAAAGATTACAGCCAAGAAAACCCCATGGACTTCTACTGGGAAAAACAGGGTCCACCAGGAGTCAGAATCAACTAGATGGCAACTGTTTGGTTTTGGTTATTTTCACTTCCTGAGACGGCCCATGGTTCCCCATGTTGGGCTTCTCCCTCATTGTAAACAGCTAAAATAAAACCCTAAATTATAAGTCATTGGTTAAATTAACTACATCGCAGATAAGAGACATGAGACCTCTAACTGACCCATAGCCCTACAGGGGACAACACAGGAGACACAGTGTGGGAATTGCACCCGATCTGATCCTGCCACATTGAGGCAAAACACTTAAGAGGGTGCAACGTTAACAGCGAGGGAACGGAGTCCCCAGGGAATGCTGAAGGTGGACTTTGGGCTAGGGTGTGTGGTGCCCCAACAG